ATCCCTGGCCCCCCCACCACACTTAAATTTAAGTATTTTACTTAAATACTTTATTTTTCATGCTTGGTAGGTTTTTTTTTTAACTTTTTTCTTTTTTTTTTTTTTTGTAGTCGCCATCACGTTTTCCTGGGAGCGTTGGCCGCCGGCTCCGGACCGCGGGGGGAGGCAGGACCGGGGTGGGGGGGACGCGGGGACAGGGTAATGCCCCACCGGGAGGGGGGAAGCCCCATCTGGCCCGATCCGGGAGCGTGGGGGACAGGGACACGTGTCACCCCAGCCCCTTTGCCTTCCTCCCTGCGGCGGCGAAGAAGATGGAGCATCCTCCACCCCACCCTGGTCCCTTGCCTTCCTCCCTGCAGTGACGAGGAGGATGCAGCATCCTCCACCCGGCACCGTCCCCTCCAGCCAGCACCCCGTGTCCCCTGGGCCACCGGGTCCCCATCGATGTGGCATCCCCGTGGGAGGGTGCGAGAGGAGCCTGGGGGTGCAGCGAGCCCGGGTTTTGGGTCCCCGGGGTGCTGCTTGGCTCGTCCCCACGTCCCCGTGGGGCAAGAAAGCGGACGGAGAGAGGGGCAGGCAATTAAAAAGCATCAGGACCCAGGCCTTCTGCTGGGCTGGGTCCCCCCACAACGTCCCCCACGCCTGGCACCGGTGTCCCCCAACCTGTCACTGCATCCCGAGCCCAGGAGGTGAAGCCAGGACCCCCCGGCGGAACCTGCGCACGTGTCACCTCCTGTAGCCTCGTCCCTGTGCCACCAAGCCCAGGAGGGACCAACCCCGCTAGGAGACACCAGTTTAAAAAAAGAAGAAACAACAAAAAAAGACAAAAAAAAACCCAAAAAAACAAGAAACAGAGAGAAGCCAGCAAACCCCGACCACCCACGGTGGCACGCGCGGGACGCTGGGGACAGCAGCGGGGAGCGTCCCCTTCCCAGGGCAGGAGGTAGCAGGAGGGGGACGGCGGCGAAGCCCTGGAGGGATGCGGGGTGGTGACAGCGAGGTCCCCGCAGGAGCTGGGGACGAGAGCCGCGGTGGGGGAGTCAGTGGGTGCCCAGGGTGGAGGTGATGGTGAGAGCGTCCTCCTCCTGGATGGTCTCCAGCTCCTCGGTCTGCACCGCCTGCGTGATGAGGGTCAGCTCCTGGCACAGCGTCTCGAAGCGGTAGCTCACGCGGATGTCGGGGACATTGGTACGACGGATGTCGTTACCCTCCGGACCCTCCTTCAGGTAGTGGGGACCCAGCCAGTAGCTCTTTACCTGGGGAGAAGAGCAAGGAGAAGCTCCCGCAGCTGCCTTGCACCCTTGGGTGCTGCCGGCGGGACCCACCGCAGGGTGCTCGGGGGTCCCGGTGGGACCGGAGCCGCGTTACCTTGTGGGAGAAGCCGCTCATCAGGACGCTGTTGCGGGCCAGCTCGCACATGTCGCAGGAGCTGAGCTTCCAGACCTGGGTGGCGATGCTGTACTCCTCCATCAGCGGCTCCTGGGGGTGGGACACACACGGCCTCAGCACCCACCCATGGGCCAACCCCCAGAGAGGATGGGGGTCCCCAGCTTCTCCCACCCTCTCTGGACCACCAGCATCCTTCGGAGCCCGTTGGCATCGCCTTGCTCCTGGCCACCACCAACCCCATCCCATCACCGTGACTTGGTGGCCACCCCATAGCTGGGCATCAGCGGCTCCTGGGGGTGGGACACACACGGCCTCAGCACCCACCCATGGGCCAACCCCCAGAGAGGATGGGGGTCCCCAGCTTCTCCCACCCTCTCTGGACCACCAGCATCCTTCGGAGCCCGTTGGCATCGCCTTGCTCCTGGCCACCACCAACCCCATCCCATCACCGTGACTTGGTGGCCACCCCATAGCTGGGTTTTGGGTTTT